GGGGTCGTCTTATACGCCCAGTCATCTTATACGTCGGAAAATGCGGTAGTTGTCAGGGCTTATATTCACATACCATCCAACATTTCACAGATGAAAACCAGGACGCGTGTAGCTAAGCAACATCAGAGTATGCTCAAGATAGCAGAAGTTATGGATGAGGAAGAACACATAAGCAAGGAGAGACAGTGCAATTTGTTTTTGCCTCAGCCTACTGGGAAGGGCAAGAGCATACCCCCCCTCCTTTCCCTCCTGCTGAGTTCACTGAGTGCAAACTACTTTTGTGAGAGCCAGCGTGGTGTAGTGGTTTGAGAGTTGGACTAGGACTCTGGAGACCAGGGTTCGAATCCCAGCTCAGCCATGTAAACCCACTGGGTGACCTTGGAAAGTCACACTTTCTCAGCCTCAGAGGATGACAAGGACAGACACATTCTGAAGAAACTCGCCAAGAAAACTCCCATCCTGGGACTTGTAGTTTCACAAATTCTTTAGCCTTCTCTGCCAAAAAGTGCTGGTGTTTTACCAAACTATAAATTCCAAGATTCTATAAGATGAAGCCATGGCAGCTAAAGTGGTGTCAAACTGCATTACTTTTACAGTGTAGATGCATCCTTAGTTTTGACTAATCGTAGATTATAGAATTCATTGACAATATGAGGAACAGGTTTGCAGTACTAGGAATAATAGCTCGTGAACTGGAAGAGCTTTGGTCTGAAACCAGGGACATAATAAAAGAAGAATGCATAAAGACACTCCCAACAGACAAAAGAAAAGCTAAGAAACCATGGATGACAGATAAAATGCTGCAAGCAATAAAGGAAAGAAGAAAAACAAATCAAAAAGGAGATAGGAATAAACTAAGATCGATGCAAAGGCAATTAACACAAAGATATAGAAATCCCATGACATGTAGGAGCTCAGGGGGCTATGCCTTCAGATGCCCATAAAGAAGCAGAACCAGTATCACCATCAGGAAGAGTAATTATCGCATGGCACTTAATTCACGGGAACGGAACAGAACAGAGCAAAAATGCATTTTACTGGATGGGAGAACACCACCGATGCCACCGGGAGTCCCTAAGGCATTCCCTAGCCGTTTCTGGCAGCCAATTTTTGAAGGACAGTCAGCATCGGTGGCGTTTTCCCGTCCAGTAAAATGCGTTTTTGCTCCATTCCGTTCCGTTCCGTTCCCGTTCTTGTAAGTGCTGTGTGATAAGCTTACATGATTGGTGCTAGGACTGGCCTGAATCTCTATCCCAGCTGTTCCTTTTGTGCCCTGACCAATCCCTTCTGTTAGAAGAGAGAGTGTATGTCCCATAGCCAGACCTGTACCTCCTAAATTAGCCTGCCTGGTCCCTCAGAGGACACAACCAGATTTTCCTGACTGGCCAGTTTGCTTCTATGCATGCAACGTGGTTGATACTGGGGGGAAACAATAAGAAGTCTGTTAACACCTTAACAACCCAAATCCAATTTCTAGTCTCAACTAGAGCAGATCCATTGAATCAGTTGCTGAATGTAAGTCGACACTTATGTAAAAACCTGTTACTCCTGGGTATACTCTCGTTGGGACTAGCAACTGGATTTAAGTTTAATGGTATTGTAATATCCAGGGATAGCAATGCTGGCCATATGGCAAAGTACAGTATCAACCAAAATCCAGAAAACAGTGATACCTTTATTGGGCCAACTAAGATGCACATTACACATGCTGCAACCATTACAGATGTTGTATTTTAATAGGCTTTCATAAGCTTCAAACTACCCTGGGAGGGGTATCATTTTATCTTTTCCTTCAGACAGCCCCGAGCAGAGCTTTTCTTTCAGAGGGTGCTCTCTGAACTAGGTTGTTATCAACACCTGCTATTTCTGCTTTAATGTGTACTTTAACATGTTACAAGTCTAAGGTGTGGATTTAGTTTTTTAAAGGATTATTTGGTTTTGGGGACATGGTTTTTAGTGGCTTTGATGTTGTGAGCCACCTTGAGTATACTCCCTGTAAATCAGAGTATAATGGATGAACAACCAGGACTGTGAGTATTCTCCTTGTCACTCCCTGGGAGTGTGTGTAGGAGGAAATGCAGCCATAAATACGAATTACATAATTTTAAGACCATCCCAGGACAGGTGGTAACTTTGATTTCCAAACAGAATTCCAGCTAAACTAGTGCATATTATTAGATCAGTTGTGAATATACTTATTGAGACCTCTTTCACAAAAGATTCTAAGGACGTTATCACACAGGGCCAAATCTGCTGGTTAATCCACACAAAATCCAGACCGAAACTGGATTAGTGGCCCGTGTTTTCACACGACGTCGCACAGAAACTGGACAGAAAGTGGACAGAAACGAGTTCTTTTGTAATTCACTTCTTTGGAGGAATTGCAATTGTGCGATTACGGTAATTCCGCATTTACCGTAATGTGATAACCAAAT